TATAAATTTACAGGTGATCATGTATTGTGTTATATTATATTTCTGGAAAATTTAAGGGGTAGTTATATAATAATTTTCGGGCGGTCGGATACTTATGACCGCTACTGTAAATCATCAAATTTGCCCATTGTCGGACGATCAAATTTGACAAATGGGAAATGGGTTTGAACATGGATAAATAAATTTTTTTCTTATTATTATTAAATTTTATCTGAGAAAAATTTTTGAATTATAAATAATTCATTTTTTTCTAATTAAAGAAAATTTTATAATCCTATATAACACGAAATAATATTGTATTATATGTTAAAGAAAAGATAATTTATAAACATTCTTTTCGTGAAATTCCAAATAAACTAAAACATTAGTTCAATATTAATTAGACAATTTACTATACAATTATTCGTGACTTTTAAATTAGTCGACCACACTAAAGTTATGAAAATAACATTACTTAATTTGTAATATTCTTCTCCTTGTCGCGTTCTTACTGCCTTACAGTGGGTAAAAAATTTCTGCTGATTACCTGACCACGACTCTTATGATGCCATAAATGTGGACCGACAGACATCTAGTAGTAAATGTTCGAAGTACATTGGATTGTATTTATTTCGAAACCTAAACGCTATTGAAAATTATTATTTGATGTCGAGAAATATTTTTTTCACAATATTAGAATACCTTCGAGTATCTAATATTAGACTCATATTCCTTTGAAGAATATCTGAATTCTGTCAACTGCCAAATGTTCAAGTAGCATTTTGTATACATGATGCTATAATTCAAAGATGGATTACAAGAAAAATAAGGCCGGCCCCTGACCATGAATTTAGTTGCAGAATATAATAACCATATTTTTATTTTATTTCTTCTATATAGATTAAGATTATTAATTGCTTATATAGTTCTATTTCAAATTGATATTTTTAGTATATAATTTACTAATAAATTTTTAACGAACGTAAAGTATTAATTTTAAGTTTAAAATATTCATGGTTAAAAACGCCTAACTAAAAACTTCTCGAAACAGCATTCATTAAATATTGGTTATTTTTATTATTAGGGCGTAATATGATATTTTGAGGGATTTGTATATTATACTTTGTTGCATTAATCTCATTAATTCTTATGAATCTTAAAGCGTTGAAAACGCATCTTAGATGAGGCAAATCGATATGATAATTATAGACTTTCTTTAGTTGCTGCTTCTTTTTTTAATCACTAATTACCTAACAAATTAAACTTTACAAAGAGCTGGAACTCCTAGAATGATTAAGGATGAATGCTTTTTTAGAATAACAGACGTCGATTTTTCGTCTTCCCATCAATTTTGAACATCAAGCCGTTTTTACAAAGATCTTCTTCAAGCTCTTGACATGCGAGAAATGAAACTATAGACCTTCCATGTCATGAATATCTTCTTTTTAGAAAATAAGTCACAAATAAATGAGTGTGAAATTTATAAAAAAAAAAGTCGCGTTCGCATTCAATAAAATGGCAAGTTTTAAAAAAACGTATAAATCAATTTACGATAATTCACTCGAGTCTAAAAATTTTGATTGGAACTATTAACAATGAAAAAATAGGAATCAGTATTAGAAAGTTTATACATACTACGTAAATGTGTCATTGTAGTAAATATCAGAACAACTTTGGATTTTCTCGTTAAGGTCTAATAATTAACTAGTTGTTGACTGATACTCAAATATTGCGCAATCATTAGTGTAAAAATAAATTCGTGCGACGTTACATTTTTGTAATGATAAATATTCATATTTCTATTATTATCAATCACTTGATAAATTTTAGTTTTTTTTTTTTGCGACCTTAAAAAATGGAAATGTAATGTTACACAAGCAAGTTACAATAATAAATTTAACAATCGATTAATAAGATATTGTTTTCGTAATAGCGTGATACAATGCGATCTGCGAAGCTTGTAAATGCAACTTCAACAATAACGATTTTTTTTTTTTTTTTTTTTTTTTTTTTTTATAAAAAAGAATTGCAATTATCTTTAAGTAAATAAAGCCATGTCAAAGAATTATTCGATATATATTGCATTATGGTTTTTAATTCGATTAGTAATTGAAGTAAATTGTCAAGTGGAGCCTTTCAAGCCATTAAAACGATATGCTCATACTGCTACACTTATTGATAATAAACTTTACATCTTAGGTGGTCGAGTTACTTCAACTACTAATAATGAAAATATTGGAAAACAATTTTTTTATCTTGACGTTTCTGTACCATTTAATACTAAATATTTAACATGGAATGATCTAACAGAAATTAATATTATTCCGGCACATCGTGCCGCTTCATCTGCAAGAGGTGGTGTATATAATGATACTTTATTTTTATATGGAGCAGGAAACGATAAAGGGAACCTTGAATTAGTTTATACATTTGATACAAAAAGCAATTCATGGAGTATTCCAAAACTAACTGGAAATGAAGATACTTTCAATATGAAATTTAATCTAAGGGGTATCGCTGATGATAATGGGAATATGTATTTGTTCGGTGGAAATAAAGTAGATAGAAAAACTTACTACAACGATATGCTTATTTTAGATACAATTAATTTGAATTTGAAAGTAGGAAGTTCAGTTGATGCTCCTAATATAAGAAATCTTTATGGTGCAACTTTCATTCAAAGTAATTTCATTATTTATTTTGGTAAGTAATCATATATCCTGTAATTAGTAAATAAATTTTTCTTATACATTGTTAATAAATGTTTATTAACTAGGTGGCTCTATGAATGATGATCATTTTGCTTATCCATTAAAAGAGGTGATTTATTAATTAAATAATATACAAATTAAAGTTAATTAATATATATCTAATAATAAAACCTTAGGTCTATCTATATGATACAATTAACGATAATTGGAGTACCAAGGCAAGTTTTATTGATGGACTTTTCTAGTAGTAGATAATTTAATATTTATAATTTTTACATTAGATAACTTCAGGTACAATTCCTTCCGATAGAGCTTCTTTTTCTACTGTTCTTAGTAAGTAAAAGACAATTTGTAAAATTGTTTTGAATTTAATTAGCAATAACAATAATCTTTATTGTAATAATTAAAGGCTTGGATGGACAACGAGTAATAATTTTTGGAGGAGAAGTACATGATAATATTATAGAACTTCAGTATGCATTTTATGTGTTAAATTTGACAAATTTTGAATGGTCCATTCCGAAATTGTCTGGAAACAAACCTGCAGAATCAAGAGCTTGGCATGAAGCAGATGTAATTGGAAAATACATGGTTATATCATTTGGTAAATATGATATTTAATAATGAATTATTTAGTCTTAAAAGGTTTAACTTTTGATCTTGTCTAATTTTAAAATTAATAAATAGGTGTAGGCAATAATGAGGATAAAGATAGTGATGATATCTTATTGCTTGATATTAGTAATAATGAAGAATATATATGGACAAATACTTTTGAACTTTCAACAAAGCAATCAACACAACTATCAATACCAGCTATAATTAGTATAATTATAGGAACAGGACTTTTTCTATTATTTGGAAGTTTATTTTTATATAAACAAAATATAAAAAATAAAAAAAATAAATATAAAAGAGAAACACAATAAAATGAAAGAAATCAACAAGTTTTACCAATCTAAAAAACTTTAAATATTAATAAATAATTATTTATAGTATAGTATAAACAACAATTACTAAAATTTTATAATAATAAAATAATTTTTTATTAATGTTTTTTATGTTATAATTTTATTTAGCTATTTAAATATTAATAAACATAAATATTAAATTAATATATTTATAGGTATTTTTAAAGTATTAAGATATATAATTTATAAATAGCTAAATTATACAATATTTTTTAAATAAATTAATATTATAAGATTGTTTTTATCATTTATTTTAAATATTTATATATTAATATTTTAAATTTATTATTTTTAAAAATGAATTTAATAGAGTTCCAAATTAGGTCAGGTTGACTTATTTACTTAACCTATTCTAACCTGAAAATTCAGATTAAATCAATAGATTTTTAGTTAATATTAGTTCAGATTAATAACTTGAATTAATCTATACTAACCTGATAAAATTCAGGTTAACTAATCATTCTTCTTGAACAATTTATTATTATTTAATTAGAATGATTAGATTATCATTTTTTTTAAATGATTTATTATCATTAAATTAGAATAATTAGATTATTATTTTTCTTAAATCATTAGGTTTTTGTTTAATTTAAATGATTTCTTATTATTTGATTTGAATGATGTCTTATAGTTTGATTTAATAGTACCTTATTATTTGATTTGAATGATGTCTTATCATTCTTCTTAAATAATTTATTATTATTCAATTAGAATAATTAGATTATTATTCTTCTTGAATGATTTATTTTATTCAAATAGAATAATTTAATTATAATTTTTCTTAAATGATTTATTATTATTATACTAGAAAAAAATTTTATTTTAGATCAAGTTAGATCAGGTCAATAAAAATTTAAATCAAATTAGATTTTTGTTTGATCTGACTTAATTCTTTCAGTTTAGATAACTTGATTGACCTAATATAAACTAACCTGTTTAGTATTCTAGAATTTAACAATTAATTCTTTATAATAAAAATATTAAATTATGATAATAAATTATCTTTATAAAAGAATTTTATTTTATAAAAATTATTTTATCTGAAAAATAAATCAGAGTTAAATAAAATAAAACTTTTAAAATAATTTTATAAATTCTTAATTTTAAATGATTTTTAAGATTATAACTAGTATATAGCTTTTTACTTATTCAAATTCTATCTAAATAGAAAAATAAAATATTATATTAAATAAATAAATATAAAAATTAACATAATATAAAATCAGATTATTCATTTTTATTTTACTATATCTTTTTATCACTAATTTGTTAGTATACTAAACAATATAAGTAACATTTGAATTATAAGATTAATTTTTCCTATAAAATACTAATCAAAATTTTTTTTTTAAAAAAAAGCTATCTAATTTATCTATGATAATTTAATATATTTTTACTTTAAAATATAATAATTTTCTTTTAAAATTTAAAGAAAATAAACATTAACATAAGGAACTTATATACAGTCAACTCTTATTATAACGAACTCTATGTCCTAGACCTCAACTTCGCTATAAGGCTATAGTGAAGATT